GGAATGAAAGCTGCAGCTGCAGAGAGAATGAACAGCAAAAGGGAGTGAGCAAGAGAGAAAATGACTTCCTGGCACATATAGCGCAAGCCAGGCATAATGAGCTCTAGGAACAGTAGGGCCCAATCCAGTCCCCTCTGAACGGCATGAAGTATCAGCCCAATCTTGCAATGAACTCGGTGTAGTTAGATGCCTGTAAAGGTCATTACAGAATCCTGGCTATCCACTTGGATAATACCTTGCCTTTCATTCGCGTATCCCAAAGCACTGGGTGTTCAAATCTGGTAAACCTTTGCTTCCCCTAGCCACATGCAGTTTAGTTAATGGGAGTAGCTTCACTGATTGTAGCAAGGCAACTTGCATCAGTGAGGATTACTCGCTCCAATACCTGTTTGCAGAACTGATCCAGAACGCAAGCCTCCCAAATCTTGTGAGCAGGTAGGAAAATAGTACATAGGGTAACGCTTCATTCCACGTTAGGCAGCACATTTCCAGGATGCGACGTAACTGTTATTTAATAGCTCATGAATACACAATGGGATGTGGGGGGGAAATTAAATTAGTCTGCAAAATGATTAGTTCAAAACCATTCCTTTAGAGCAGAGGCCTCAAAGGGAGCCCTGAAAAGCGTAGCCTACATTGTCCTTTCCCTGTACCTAAAGGGTGAACACAAAGCGGGTCGCCCGCAGGTTGTGCACAGCAGACAGTAAAACTGAAACAACAAGCAGCCTCCGTTCACCTGCCAGCAAGCATTCAAATCTTCTTGTGGAGCGGGGTTATTTTTATGTTAAACACATGCAGATTTATATGTAAATGAGGCACTGCCTGTGGGCTTCTGGCTAATTGCCACAACAGCCCTTCGCGTTGCAAAGTTTGGGTGCCTCTGCCATAGGCTTATGGCCATAACAATGACACCTCGAGAACTGCACTTCCCTCCCCACAAAGGAGCTACATCCAGTGGCACCACTCACAGCCCTATTAATAATTGCTATTAGTGCTACTACTGTTTATTTGTTAAAAGGCAAGCCGCAGTGCCAGGCACTTTGCTAACAGCAGTCCCTTTGTGCAGGAAAATTGAGGGCTGGCTGTGCTTGGGGAAACCAGGAATCTTAGAAATGTTCTTTGTAAAAGAGAACTGGTATTTATAAGATAAATGCAAGCCCTGAAATTGGGACAAACTCCGAGCAAAGTGAGAAGCATGCAGGGTGCATGATCGTCTCGGTTCTGCACGCAGCCTGATGGATGCTCTCAACAACATATTTTAATAAAACCAACTTCCTGCTAAGCGGAGCTGTCATCTCCGACTGGAGACTGCACAGCCCCTCTCTCCCCTCGCCCTTGGAACAGCTGCACTGGTTTATAAAACCTGCTTTTTTGGGGAAGGGAAAAAAAAATAGAACAAGAGATTCTGGCTGTAATCACCGTCCCAAATCCTCCTGCTGCATGACGAGCTGACGTTAATGACGGCACGTCCGAGCAAAGGGGGACCTGAGCACAGCTGGGGAGTTTCTTGGGTAAGAAAGGGAGTGAAATCCTTGCCTGCAATCCTGAGATTGCTGCTGTCTGTTTGTGCAACTGCACAGCAACTGCAAGGTCTCAGCGCACGTTCGTGGCAGTCAGTGGAAAACCCCTCAGGCTGTTCTCCGAGGTGATGGGTAGACTTGGTGTCAGCGGGTGTGCAAAGGAGGGTCCCCTGGGGCCGAATTTATCCTAGCTGCAGTGTCTTCATAGATGAGGCCAGGCCGAGTTGAAATGGGTACGTGTCGTACATGGAGGGCCTGGCTCGTCTCTGGGCTGCTGCCAAACTCTGCAGTATGACCCAGAGGGGTGGCCTCCTTGCTTTGGGTCGCTCAGGGATCAGCGAGCCATCTTCATTTGTCTATTAGTGGCAGTGGGCCTATGCATTATCATGCCTGAAAGGAGCTGGGGTGGAGGACTGCCCTTGTCCACACTATCTCCCTCCTTGACATGCCCTTTGGCAGGAGACACCTTTTCCCTAAAATCCCAGCTTAGTGCCTGCCTGACCCAAGGTTATCCTGTAAGCAAGCATCATGACTACTTCACAACCCCTCTGAGTGCAGTGTGTCCTCAGGGCAGAGAAGTTTGGCCACCTTCCTCTACCCCCATGAACTCACCCTCTAGACTCGGTGCATGGGGGAAACCGAGTCAAGTCAAACGGAGTTACTGACCCCAGGATAAATCAAGGGCAAAACCAGAGAATGGGAGGAAGGTCCCCCAGACAGCAGTCTCGATCCTTTCCTGCCTTTCTTGTTTAGAGGCAAAATCTGGATGGGAGTGAAATAAAAGATGATCCACCCTTTGCCCCAGAAAGTGCCAAGGGACCAGGGGAGGTGTCCCT